TTGTTTCTTCAATCAGGCCCAATTCCCTCTCTCTCCGCTTTTATGGATGCTGATTGGGCCGACTGTCCGGATGATCGCAGGTCCACAACTAGATTCTTAATTTATCATGGTTCTAACCTGATTTCATGGACTTCACGTAAGCAGCCTACTGTTGCAAGATCCTCCACTGAAGCGGAATTCAGGTCCATTGCAAATGTTTGCGTCGAGTTACATTGGCTGTGTGCTGCTCTAGTCCTTGAACTTGGTGTTCTGCTACGAGCTCCACCAACAGTTTGGTGCGACAACAACGGAGCTTTCTTCCTGGCCTCCAATCCGGTCTATCGCGCCTGTACATGACATGTCAAAGTGGACTTTCATTTTATCCACCAGAATGTGCAGCATGGTTTAGTAGCGGTTCGTTCAATTGCAACGGACCAAATTGCCGACATCCTTACCAAGCCGGTAGCCAAACATCTCTTCAACTAGTTTTCTGACAAACTCCGGCTCTTGCATTTACCGCCTTCAGTTTGAGGGGGCGTGTTAGAGTTGTATTTATCTTTTTTTTTGTAATATTTATCTCAATTAATAAATATACTTGAATTTGAAATGTAGAGCTAAGGATAAATGGTTAGCAGGAGTCAATCGTTATCATCAGTTGTGTATTCATCTATACATGTACTCACATGATGAATCAATATGATTAACTATTCATATCTAAACTATTGAGTGTCGGGGCCAAGCATCTAGTATTCATTTATTATAGCAAACACAAAGTTGGAGTTTTGCAGCTTTGGTGGGAATGGGGCCGAGAAAGAAAGAGATATTAAAAAAACAAAAACATAACAATTCACTAATCTTTAATTAATTGATTGATTAATACAACAGCGTACCCATTCTTTTTTAATCAGTTGCATTATTTTTTCTTTTTGGTAAAAAAAAAGAAGTTAATTTAGTAACCTAATGAACTACTCCATATTCCCACATTTCACAGAATTACAGGAAATTCAAATCCGATATTTCTACTACATATATACACAAGCGGAAGGTTGCATCTTGATAGTTAAAGGTGAAATTGAAACAGATCACTGAAACCCTTCTACCTTAAATTTCAGCAGCCGAAATCCAACAAAATATAGAACAATGAATTTTCTAGCTGTTGATAATGTATTTTAATTAGTAGGAAATCCGAAACCATGTTTAGCTTATTTAATGACCTTAAATAGTTTTTCGAGGCTCAAATACTGCAAGTTCTCTCGCACTTGCTAGCTCAAGTTCATATTGAATCTTTTTATACTTTTCTGATATAAGATTGTCAAAATTTCTAAATATTTTTAATTAATCGGCAAAACTACCAATTCTTCATCTATCAATTAAAACAATTATTCATAGGAGAAATTTTGCAACCCTAACTTTCAGTTCATGAAAGATGACGAAGCTTGGATTTAGATGGTGCCTTAGGACGGGCGGCGGCGATGATCTAGGCGGCGGCAGACGGCCTAAAACCTGCAAGACAAAGCCTCGGGTGTCTCCCGAGGGTAGACTCTCTGATGCTTAAGTCAATAAAGGAATAAAGAGAATAGGGAGAGAGGGATATGTATCGTGTGTAGAAGATGTAGAAAATAGGTAGAAGATGTGTCTTATGGGAGAGGCACCACCTCTTTATATAGAGGTGGTGTTACCTGTTTCCTGAAACCCTAGCGGAATAGGTTTAGGCGGTGACCTAATCTCCAAGTAACCTAATCCTAGGCCCAATAGGCCTGTGGTTTATTTTGGACTCGTCAAGTGTCCCTAGCAAGCCATGTTCTCGAGACTTGATGAGAAGGATATGTGTTGCTATGAGTATTAATGTCTTCTCGTGGTGTTGCCCTAGTTCTCGGGTGTCACCTATAGAAAGATAAAGAGAATAGAATGCCTCGAGGAGGTCTTTGTGTTAGTAAATTCCTGATTGGCAGGGGGAAGCCTGTGTATGCCGAATTAGGAGGATGGCGCCTAGATTCTCTTATTTGAAGGTGATAATCCTATAGTGCCTGTCGTGCAGGTCTTGTGGCTGTGCCCATCTAGTAGGTCTTATTTGGCCGTTGCCCGTCTAGCAGGTCTTTGTGGGTCGTGCCCGTCAAGCAGGTCTTATTTAAACCCGGTGCCCGTCTAGCGGGTCTTTCGTTGATATACAATTTCACTCAAAAAAGGCAACATAATATAATAATATGTTTATTGGAGATAAGTCAAATCTAAACAGTAAAAGATCTTTAGTAATATTCTAAATCGAAGCATCGATGTGCTAAATTATTTAAATAGAATATGAAAGCAAGATGCATACTTGTTTGAGGGAACCTCGAGGAGTCATTATGGTATCCTGAATGAAACGTGAGGCTCACCTAGAATTTCCTTTGAAAGGTTGTCTTGATTTGTCACATACTCTCGGAATTTTCCCTTTTCGAGCCCCTCCTCGATTTGCTCATTTAGTTCATGGCAATTTTCGGTGTCATGCCCATGATGTTTATGGAAAGAACACCATAAGTGTCTTGGGCGCTTGCTTGGATCTGTTAACATGGGACGTGGCACTTTCAACTCATGCTTATGGACCTCTAGGATTTCAGCTCGAGGACGAGTTAAAGGCGTATAAGCATCTGCCTTCCTCTTTGCTCAGTCATGGCCTCTTTCTCGATCTCGATTGTGTTCTTTGTCTAGTTCTCGGTCATGATCTGCCCCTAGGCCTTTAGCCTTGTTCTCAAGCGAGCTCTTTTCATAATAGTGCAGGCTATCTCGTGCTTGACGTAAATCTTCTTTTGCTCAAACTTCAGTTTCAATAACTGAGAAGAGTTGTTGTAGTGTAACCGGTGATTCCTTTGTCAATTTTTGTCGTAAGTTTGCGGATGCCCTATATGGGTAGAGGCCATTGGTGAAGGCTGCGATGATTGTCTCCTCAGAAACTCCTTTCACTTGAAGTTGTTTTTTGGTAAAAGGGGTATAATAACCCCCAATAGACTCTTCTTGTTCTTCCCTGAGACCCATTAGTTCGGTGATTGTCTTGCGGATCTTCTTCCCTTGGAAGAATCTTGTGTGAAAAAATGTTCTTAGCTCATGAAACGACCGTATATTTCTTGGGGGCAAAGTTCCGAACCAGAGCTGTGCTTGACTCGTGAGATAGGTAGGGAACGCCTTGCACATGAAATCATTGGAGGCATTCCTCAATGTCATAGAACTCTTATAAATTTGTTAGAAGAACACCATGGGATCAGTATCTCCTCCATACAACTTCAAATCTGGAAGTTCAAACTTCTCGGGCATGGGTGTTTCTCGGATGCGTTGGATGAATGGACTGTCATCCTCTTCATGATCCTCTCCTGCAGGTCCAAGAATCTTGCGTAGTTGCTCCTCGATGGTCGAAGGTACTCGCGTCGAAGATATGACTGCTCGAGAAAGATGAGCATCTTCTCGTTTTATAGTGTGATGTTCTCGAGAACTGCCCCTAGGATTTGGTGCTCGATCTTTTGAGAAAGTATCTAGGTTATTCACTAAGAGTTGTCGCTAATTGCCATCGAGCTCATGAAAGCTCTTCACAAAATCTTGGAAATTGTTAAACAAGGTAGGTTGAAATTTCAAAAACGCCTCCATGAGGTTTTGATCAAACAAACCACCAGACGGCCTATTAGAGGATGGTTCCGCCGGAGTTGGCTGGTTGTCTTTTTCAGCGGCAGTAGCAGTTGTTTGCTGTTTTCCTTGATCCACGAACGCTGGTGATGTTGTGCAGCATAAAGCACCAATAAATTTCAACTTCACTTCAAGAGATTATTTGGTTGTGAAGACCAAACAAATTAGTCCCACTGGACGTGTCACTTGACGAAGCTTGGATTTAGACGGTGCCTTAGGACGGGCGGCAGCGATGATCTAGATGGCGGCAGACGGCCTAAAACCTGCAAGACAGAGCCTCGGGTGTCTCCTGAGGGTAGACTCTCCGATGCTTAAGTCAATAAAGGAATAAAGAGAATAGAGAGAAAGAGATGTGTATAGTGTGTAGAAGGTGTAGAAAATAGGTAGAAGATGTGTCTTATGGGAGAGGCACCACATCTTTATATAGAGGTGGTGTTACATGTTTCCTGAAACCCTAGCGGAATAGGTTTAGGCGGTGACTTAATCTCCAAGTACCCTAATCCTAGGTCCAATAGGCCTATGGTTTATTTTGGACTTGTCAAAAGAACTCCATTTATTGGAAAAATGGATACCCATTTGAAGCTCGTGAAAACTACTACGAGCATTGTTCCTAACCATATTAGAAGCTTCTTTAATTGGATCATTAGTGAATATGAAATTTATAGTATATAAACCTGCACTTAGTCAATAATAATATAAGATTCAATAGTCAAATATGAATTTGAAATATAAATATATAATATCAATAATAATGAATATGAAACTATTGACATCGCTCTATAGCATATATATAAATCTGGACTTATTAAAAATAAAAATAAAAGAAATTGCAACAATATGAAATTTTACTTATATCAAGACTAAAAAACTCTCTAACTACCTGGAATTCAACTTCACCCAAAACTGAAAAACTATCTCTAACAAACAACCTAGAATTTAACTTAACTCAACACTAATAAATTATTTTTAACACATGGAATTTAACTTATCTAAAGATCAAAATGTGGAAGCATTCACACCTGCAGTTTTCCACTCAAGCCTCTTGGATGGATCTTCCCTATAAAAAGCCTAACGTAGAGACATTGCGAATCATCCCAATTCCAGTTCTTTCTCCTTGTATTAACGAGTGAGAAAGATATATAGCAGTTAGAAGAGAAAAAAAGGTTTTGTGACAATTCATTCTCTTATTACAAGAGAGAGTTGTAACTGGTAGTATTTTTTTACTCATTGTGAAAGTTCTTCCCTACCTTTACCCTTGTGAATTTTTACTCCTGTGTCCTTGTTGTCCTCAATATTACAAGCCCTAATTTTACAACCGAAGAAAACCAGGACCCGCCTTTTCCAGCCTTCCACTAAAAAAAAAGTGAAAAATGAACGACCCGAACTTGATTTCGACACCGATCCAACGACAGTCCAACCCAGAAAACGCGTCACCGGAAAAAGTGGATGTGCTCTACCCATCTGCTGAATGTGCTGGTGAGAAGTTGGAATCGTCCAATAATGATGTCGTTAACAAAGGGTCCTCCGCCAAGACCCAAGCGAACCAAGGGTCCAACTGCACACTCTACTCAATCAAGAATCTGACCCAATTTCCGATCCGCTTTCACGACGCCTATGATGGGAAGGACTACTTCGTTCACCGCGGAACGGACGAATCCCCCGAGGTCTGGCTTCCCCTTGAAAATGAGACACATTCCTCTTTCCATCTCTTATTCCAGGATGGTTCGTCACGCCAGTTCTTGACTATTTACGGCAGAAGTGACGATGAACAACATATAACCATCGCTGACGACACGAAATCCGCCACTTTCCCCACTCATACCAGCGTTCCTTTCGTCTCGAGCAAAGGTTGCCTTACCATCTTTTCAACTGCACATCCGAACTACCGCATCGACTGTTTCCGCCACAACCCCGTCATCCCTGACGATCTGGTTAACGTTTTCTACACTACCTGCCCTGATACTTGAGCCGAGACGGCAATAGATGTTGGGTGTCCGTAAAACACCACGCCGCTGAGCATCCTAGCGGCCCATGAAAGATTGGGTTCCAAGCATGCGACAAGTGTGAGTTCCTGAGGGCTGAACTCATCATTTCCTCTTCTTTGTAATAAATAAGTGAATAATTATGTGTACTACATACTGCATACAAATTGATCTAGTTTTATATTGTCTGATAATGTTTGTCTAATTCACCGTTATAGTTCAAGCATCAAACTAAATTACTAGCTACTCCCTTCAATTTAATCCTATATATGTATATATATGTTTCTCAAAAGTTTTAAGATTTGTACGCGTAAAATGTTTGGGGTAAATAAACAAACAGGTCATAAACAATTAGCATCATTCTAACAACCCGATACTACTGCAATTTGTCCTAAACGTTTACTTTTCATATGACAAGAATGACATCTAATTACTAGTTAATCAGCAGTCAAATTCCTTCACAAATACTAATATATGCTACAACTAACTTATAAGGATAATCATTCATTTGTTGTTACAACCGCAGAGGTTGGTGTTTTTGTAGCATTGGTGGGAGCTAGCCGAGAAAGAAAGAGGTATTAAAGACCTAAAAACATAATAATTCACTGATCATTATTTCATTATATATAATTGATTACAACAACGGAAACCCCATTATATATTAATAATTGATCACCCAAACCCGCTGATCATGATTTGCAAATATGGTAAAACTACATAAGGTTTGTACTTAGTAGTTAGTACACTGGGGGACTAGACTAATGTATGTTTTGTTTCAGCATAAGGTTTTTTAAAATTCCTTGATACTATCTCCAGTTACTTTTCTTTCTTCGCTCGATCTTCATAATTGCTGAATTGTCAACTCAAGCCTTACTATATGGTAACACTTTCCAATCTTAATTATAAGGCACAAATTTGAACTAAATTTAATGTTAATTTGCATCTATTAATTAGATCCAGAGGGAGTGGTTTTTAAGATGGTGCCTTTATTTTGTGACTCCAGTTGCAAAGTTGGAGAATTTGACCATCTGCTTACCAGATGAAGACTGCTGAACCGGACCAGACGTCGCAATCCTCAATTCCCGCATTTTGGATCAGATGGAAAAACTCTCTGAAGCTGTTTTCTTTTTAATTTATTTTTTAATATTTTTTATTTGTTAAACGAAGAATGAGGAGGAGAAGAATCTGTGAATTAATCCTATTAAATTATGTTCGTGTCTCGATGTGGCACTACATTGACCTTGATCTAAATTAAAACTTAAGTCTCCTTTTAGTTTTTGAACCCAGTAATTATTTGTGCACCCGTATTCATCATTATATTTGGTGTATGGGTTATATGTAAACTCGCGCCTTTATTAGATGTAACAGTTATCTTGTACGTAATCCCTTTTACCCTATTAAAGCAGAAGACATGAAGCTTATGTGGTACTTACGTATGTATCTGTTTTGGCTCTAATGCACCATATTTCAGATTTCAGGATTCTTTTTGCCACGTGTAAGTCTTTTTTAATTAGAAGCTATATAATTTTTTTTTAAAAAAACACATGTTTTACTACAAATAAGGATCAGTTACATTTCAAACGAATGGATATATTAATTCAAATTCAAATCCAATCGTATAGTTTTACAGGCTTAATATAAACAAAAAATAAAAATACCTAAATCCAGCAATTAAGAATAATGCCTTATAAACTAATTATTTATTATTCCCTTATAACCTCAGATTTATAGGTATATTTTTTTAAGCCCCAAACCATAGCATAAATGATATATACGTCAAATTAATTCCTCAAAAAATAGTAATTCAATTAGATTTTAATAAGTAATTTAGAGAGGGCGTCCGGGCATCTGTCCGGGCCAAGCATCTAGTATATTAATTATGAAAATAATCTTAACTACAATGTAGGGTATCCAAATTTAAGATCCAAATTCAATATATTCAAATACACTAATAAGAGTTAAATTCATAACAAAACTCTATCTTCTCTATGGTTTCGTAAGAAAATTAAAATCGTCCTCCTAAAATTCATAAAAGCTGTCTACGCAGTTCATAAAATACTAAATTAAATAACCCTTTTTTTTCCTCTTTTTATTTTGGGTTCGTAATTATCTTGCATATAGTTCATGTCAACTCAGTTCCAATCCATGTTCATATTTTCATTATTTGAAACTCATAATATTATGAATTATTAGGTGTTCATATGTTTATGTACGTGGATTCATCTTGTTCATAGTGTTCTTAAGTTTATTCAAAAGCCTTTTATTATATTTACCCACCTATTAATTTATTTTAATTATTTCCCACTCTAACATGTTGCAAAAGTGTTTTTCTTCCCATGTTGAAATTAGGAAAGTGAACTCACCGCCATTTCATAGCAAGAAAATTACTAGGCTCGGCAATATGCATAATTATAAAAATTCACTAAAGCCTAGACTGTCAATAGTAGTTAGAAAGATATAAAATAGTAGCTATAACTAATAGTAATTTCATGTGTTAGAAAGATATACACGACATAACTTATTCACACATCTTCATAAACATCCACCCTTTTCAATTCCCATATTCAAATACATTAACTTTCTAATTAAACTAGTGTATCCTCGTCGTGGCCATATTTATCTCCAATTATTTTTACATGATTTTCTGTTCTCTCAAAATTGTCATATTACTTTATTAAAAGGGATCATGTTAACTGCTTCCATATCAACAAACCCTAATTTTATCTTTGACCTAACCAGTATTAAGGTGATATTGAAGCTCCTTTATTCAAAGTACCATCCAAAACATTTGCCGCTGGAGGTTCTTAGAACTCTGCACAATGAAGAGAGAGAACTAAGAATTTAAATTTATTGCCACTGTCGATATAGAAGCAACGCCACCGGTTTCATGTGATGTGAGCAAAATTTTTCCGGTGGAGGTATGCAAACAATCCGTCAGCAATGGGAACACGATGGTGGTGATGTTGTTGTTTACGTAGAGCCGGAGATCCAAGTGAATGAGACGTTTGAGCTAAGGGCGGAATTGGCCGGAATTTCGATCCTCAAAGGTTGTAACTGTGGGGATCAGTCAACGATGACGTACGAGGCGCAAGTCCCTGCTATCGTTGCCGCATCTACCGATGGTTTAATGAAATCTAATACAAAAAAAAAAAAACCCTTTTAAGATTGTTTTGTGTGCAATAAAAACGGTATAGTGTTTTTCTTTTTCCCCTCTGCTTGTGACTTGATCCACAAAATTGGACTGATGCAGAAGATTAACGAGGCACACGATTCGGGAAAATGGTTTGTGTCTAAGTGATTTATGCTTGATGCCCTTGGATCTTAGAGTGTGTTTGATCAAATTATTCTCTTCCGTTGATTTTGATTGAAGTATTATTTTTGGGTGGTACCTCGCATATTAATTGGGGTTGCTTCCTTCGTATGCCAATCTCAAAATTTTCAACATATCATATGAGAAGAGAAGTCAAATAAAGTAGGATGGAGATCTGACGGTGAAACAGTAATTGGACGCAATAGATCGGCAAGCACGACGAGGGAAGATAGAAGTTGAAGAAAAGGCGGCAACAGAAGCGACGACAAAGATCAAAGGCCGGATGGAACTGAACGGCGGCCGCTACGATGCTTTTTGTTCCGTTCGACTACTGGGAACACTGAATTAGGTTTTTTTTTTCTTGTATTTCTGCCCGGATGGAACGGAACGTAACGAATGGAATGGATAGAAATTAGGTTTTTTTGTTTTTGTTTTTGTTTTTTTTTTTTTTTTTGTATTTCTGTTTGTTATTTTTAAATGATAGTAACTAAATAAAGGTAAAATTTACTGGAGAAGAAACTAGTGTAATACCCATGCGCTGCACGGTAATTTTTAGATATTATCAATGTCTCAAAAGGACCAAATAATCCCTACTTCCTGCTCCTTGATGAATTATGCAAAATTCTAGAAGGAAAAAAAAAAACTCCCTTTGTTCTATGATGGTATTAGTTTACGCCAGATCAAACTACTTATTGTAATTATTATCACTAAAATTAAACTCCTACCGCGGCCAATTTGACAAGCAGCCATCCGCTCAAAATCCAAACCATAACTGAAACAACATCCCTCTTTTAGGTTGAACTCAAGCGTTTTACAATTGAAAGAATATAGATACAATTATCTCATCCCTTTTCCGAAAAAGCCTTATAGTTAAACTCAGAAGAATCAAAGAGGAAAAAAAAAACTTTCCAAATGAAAAATGGGGAAGAAAAATTGCGTATGAGAGAGAGAACAAAAATGAAACCTCACAATTTAATTAGGAAATGAGATACCATATATACCTATTCGAATGTCAAAAAGAAAATATTCCATTTGCGGTAGAGTTCCAGTAGGATTATGCGATTTTGACAACCTAAGCCAAATGTTTTACCAATTAAAAATTTCAGAATCTCACAACATTTTTTTTCTTCTAAAGAGTGTTATATCATCAAAACTTCATTTCTTGGTTCTTCTTGTCAAATATATATAATTACATTTGTGAATAACAATTCACATAACACGTTCTAAGCAGTGTTTTAAATTTCACTATTCCATTCAAGTGATTTTCTAAGCTGGAGTCGCATACACTTCCGAAAAAAACAATAGAAAATAAAACAATATAAAAGCAAAAACCATTTGAGAAAATTTTCTAAAGCACACACGATTGATAAAAATCTATCAAAAAATAATTCCACAGTCCATCAACTAATAACAAACGCAAAAACCAATGCAAGCATACAAATAAAAGGATTTGGATTAAATCACGAAAGATACTTTTGTTTTAGACGTCAAAAAAAAAAACCAACAAAATTAGCTTGAAAGAAAATGTTTCTATAGATTGAAAATCCTCACGAACCTTTTTGAAAAAGCAAAACAAAAACCCAAAAAAAAAAGGAAAAAAAGGGGAGGAGAATATTTTAAAGGATTTTAATTCTGGTTGTGTGAGAATGAAGCCTGAAGGTGGCAAAAATATCCC